CTACAGTAGGTATGCAGGGGATATATTATTCAATCATAAACTAGAGAGTAATTTTCCTTTAGTATTTACTTCTTTCACGCCCCATCTCTCACCCCCACCGTTCACAATTCCCCCCATGTCACACTCGGGATGTGCAGATGGTCGTGCCCGAGGAAAGGCACGCGACCAGCCCGATGGCAGAGTGTGCTCAGCTGTCAGTGACCGTTAGCGTTAGCGTCGAGCGGCTCCAAACCTGCCGCTTTATTTGTAAATTATCCAGCAACTGCGTCCATTCAAGGGTTCCCTTTAGTTGCCATTCCCCCGCCGCCATGTTTTTATAAATGACAAAGCGACACCCTGGAAATCTCATATGACGTTTAATGCATCCGAAACTTTTCAGTGCATAAAAAGAAAGTGGACCGGGAGCCACGAAGAAAACCCCCAGTTCAGGGGAATAAACAGATCTGCACTGTGGTTTCTGGCTACGGGCAGAAGCGCTTTTATCTGAGGCCGCTGCGGGTCGCACATCTGTTGTTTGGAGCGGGCCAGGTGTTCGGGCCGTTCGGGCTGCACCGTCGCTTTGAAGGAGGGAGTTTCACAAGAAACTCTGCAGCTGTACAGATTAATATTAAACGGAATCCCTAACAGTCTCCGCAGAGGGGATCTGCATAAATATTCACGAGCCAAGACTGTACAGGCTCCGCTCCCCATCCTCCACCCCCCCCCGCCCGCTCGCCCTCCTGCCACACGCGCACATGAATAGGGATGCAAACCCGCTGGAGGAGCGAATGCCTTATCGCGCAAAAACAAAGAGGAGCGGTGGCGGGGCGGCAGTGCTAAGATGGGATTTCAGCTGAGCAGCTTTGCAGCGGCTACAAGACGCTGGATATTAACAGAAAATGTAAAAATGGAAAAAAAAATATATCAATTACAGGGATGTTTTTCTGTTCGGTTCTATGAGGCAAAATGTCCAACTCTAATGCCAACGACGGTTAATTACACAGTGAAAAGCAGTACAGCATTAATTAATATAAAAAGGCTGTATATGGGGTTTGTTATGCATGACAACAATGCAGGCTTTAGTGTGAATGTGCACAAGGACGGGCCTGAAGCACAAAATCAGACGTGCCCAGACTTTGAGGGGTAGATGCGTAAAAGGGGGGGGTGGCTGGTACTTTGTGCAGGCAAATTTTCACGATTGGTTGTGGGGCGCTGGGTGATCATCGCTTATCGGGAAAGGGCACTTGGAACATCAAAGGGGTGCACTTTCATTTGTGCAGGAAAAGAGCCAGGTGCTCCGGTACCTCCAGCCCCCTCCCCCGTACGTGCCTGCTGCTGAAAGAGACGCGGAGCCCCACGTGAGGAATGCTAGGAGGACACAATGAAGGAAGCGGAACCATAACCAGGATGAAGACGGAACATGTGGATTCCCAGGAGGGAGCTGTGATATCAGACACTGGAGGGCTTACATTAAAACGCTCACAGCTCGGCTCCTGGGGAGGCCGTCAAGAAGGACCCGGAAGGAGCCGCAAGTTTCAGATAAGCGGCAAATGTTCGACCCGACGCTGGCCTACATTTCAGATCAGTCCTTCCTGTGTAAGTGCGAGGCTGTTACCCATGAACTTCTCCGTGGACAACTGTCCTCCATCTAACCCGGGGAGCTCCTCCAAATGCCAGAGAGCCCCAGCTGGGACAGGACTGCGTGACAAAGCCCCGCCTCCTCTGACATCAGCGAATGACAGCCCCCCCCCCCCCCCCAACCTCCGACCACAATGCCAATCCCAGCCCAGCTGCACCACACTGCCGGCTTCACTATGGAGGGACAGGAAGGCAAGTAAGGTCATTAAGAAACTACTATGAATTCAGGAAAGACACCATTTAAATTATTAAAAATCCATGTACAAAATCTATTGGGTGGGGGAGGGAACCAACAACTCAGATTATGCACAAATATGATTAAATTATCGGGAAAGAAAGGTTACTCTCCCCCTTCCCAAACACACATATTTAATTTCCCTTCGGATGGTGCTGGTGACCTTTAAAACCACGGTCAGAATGCCCCCCCCCCCCACACCGCCGCCGTCGCCGCACGTACACGCGCCAACACGCGCAGCAGGCCTGCTGCCAGATGCGCTGGTCCGCCGGAGACCCGCTTGCCAACAGCTGACAAGACCAAACTCATCTGGTTTCTCATGTCTGTTTTTATTTAATTGGCAACAACAGCAAAAACCCAGAGCCTCTTGACAGTCTCGAAAATAAAAAAATAGATTGTATAATTTCTTACAATAGTCTGCTAATGAACAGAACATACTTTGTAGTCACAGCAGCTAATTCACTGACTGTACACACAGGTACGTGGCATCATTAAAGGGGGTTTGTAGCTTGTTTACAAACGCTCAACACCAGCATAATTTAAAAAAAAAGGTACATACGTATACTACCAATTAGTAGTGAATCCATTTTTAAATTAATCAGATAAACAGACGTTATATATATATTGTCAGTTATAGCATTTGAAAAAATTTAAAATGAACACCCTCATTGAACATCATTTTTTATTTGCATTCCCATGATTCAATGTAAGAAAAATATATTAAAGTATCTATGTACTTAAAGAGCAGATATCCAACCTGGTACTGCCAAATTAAAGCAAAAACACAAAATAATCTGACTGCAGCTAACTTAATCACAAAGTTGTACAAGGTCAACATATCCACGATAAATACCAAAAACTAATTATTAGAAATACTATTTAAAATCACTGAGAGGAAATCTAAGTGTTCTCATTAACCACAGCTAGTACTGAAACAAAGTACTATCTATGAAGGTCCCTTCCGTGCAGAATTTATGCCATATCTGCATTTCTGGACAACACATCCTTTAGTTTCTCAAAACTTCATAAAATTAATTTCTTTAAATCTGCAAGTACATTAGCATTTTTTAAAATCACACCAAGTTGTTAAAGATTGCTGATTACACAATATCTTCCTTTTTGTAAAGCTGCAAATTGTTCTACTCTCTATAGTCTAAGTCATCACTCTGATTATAAATGCAAATTCAATCTACGAGGTCTATCCAAGTAATAATTCTGAAGCCAATAAGCTGGTAATGTCCACAGATTAATTTTTTCTACGTATTCCTTTATCTGAGAAAGTATTAAAATGTAGCTTAAACATCTAGTCATTAAAAGCTCTCCAAGGTACAGTAATTATCAGAGAATTTTCGAGGTCTCTGGATTTACCAGTGAGATCAAAATTCAGGAATTTGACTTAAAACACGTAGAACGTGTACAAACAAAAATGTTTATCAATCAATGGAAAACATCATTAGGATCTCAGATTGGACCAGGAATGTAAAATTTTAAATTAAAAAGAGAATGCATGTATAAAAATATGCATGATTGGATAAATGGTTAGATAATATTTTGTAATTTATTTTTTTTTTTTTTAAATAATTTTAAACTAGGGAAAATGGCACAAAATTAAAATGATAGGAACACACAACAAAGCAACTTTGCTAAACTAGTGACACTTTTTAGAATAAATAATATGTGCAAGTTTGACAAACATTGCAAATATCGATGATGTAATATACAAGACTGGAAACATGAATATCCCGATACAAAGCAGCATCCCTTGCAGCGTGACCATTTTTAAATTACTGTGCAAAAGGAGGGAACACGGCTGCTTGGCTGAAGTTTGTCCCCGGTCCTTAAATAGCAGATTCATCACCGTGGTGATTTGTTGAAAATGATGACAAACTTCATAAATATTGGAATAGCTAATCAGACCAATCTTATTCCATAAAATGGAGTTTATATAAAAAAAAAGACTATCATGGCTAAAAAGAAAAATATACCAATAACTTTGTTTTAGTACACGGTAAATCTATTTCATAAAAAAATGAAAGTGATTGCCAGGAAAGCAAAGGTTTCACCAACATTTCAGATTTGAATTTGTAAGTTTGACTGTTGTGTGTAGCAGGTACACAGAAATTATTACATTTGTGTTAAGTTTCAAACTGCTATATGTAAATTGTGGTTATTTCATCTATTTGCATTCATCTGCACATTGTCCAGCACCATTCTCTCAAGAACTGGGTAACCATGGCTCCACAGCTTGTGTGCGTGTGTGTGTGCGTGTGTGTGTGCGTGCGATTTTATACACGCACATATTACATAGCATGTCTTCATTTGCAGTCCCTGAACTTTGTAGTGTCCCCCCCAAACAAAACCTTATTTAAAAAAATTGAATCAGACCCAACAGATCAAACAGAACAGCGAGCAGAACTGGCTGAGGAGCGCGCCACACGACCCAAACTGAATGCTCTTCACGGGCCACACGGTTCCGAGCCAGAGAGTTCCGATGGCGGATGACACTGGGAGAAACGGTGTTCCTCTTTAGTATGATTATTTACAGACTGGCCTAAAGATGCACACGAGACTCAGAAGGATTGTGGCGCCCTGTTTGTTTAAGCCCAAAGACACTGAGGAACGCCGTGACATCACGGTGCTGCCGTGAGATGACTTCTCCCTCCCAAGTCTCTCACCGGCACACGCGTTCGACGAGCGATAGACTGCAGAAGCCCCTTAGGTGTGGAGGAGGAGAAGAGGCTCTGCTCTCGGTGTTTGCAAGGAACCAAGCGAAGGCGCCTTGCTGAGGGCCCGACCCAGAGCCAGATCGCTAAATACCCTTACAGATCCTGCCTTTCCGGCCCGCTTCCCAAGCCTTCCATCTACAGCTTCTCCAGGACTTCAGCTTGCATTAAACATGACCATCTGCCATCCTTAATGTACACACGTTCTGCCCAGCCACACGAGGGCGTGTGTGTGCAAGCAAGCAAACCAGGCTGCAACAGGGGTTTAGTCACCAAATAACCACAATAGACTAAACCCCAGCTAACGCCCAATTTGGCAGCTATTCTGTTGAGTCACCGCGCTTCAGGCCGTTTCTCCGCGGACCCCCATTTAATGCCCCGTAGAGCATTTTACTCACCACCCCCCCCCCCAATTCTTAGAAAGGTCAGTTTTACAGCCTGATATCTCCTCCAACGCAGTCCCTGGCTCCCCTCAATCTGCTCTATCTCAGTGCCGACCCATTGAGGTGCACCAACCAGGAACCATAAGCTACTTTCCCGTGTTGACCTGTCTGGAGCTAGAACATCCGACTGCCACCCACTTGGATACATAGAAACACAGCATGGCTGAGTTTGTCATTATTAAAGCCTTATTTTGGCTGTTCACGTGTCAAGTTTCTTAGCCATGAAATAACCATCCTTTCAAGTAAAAAAACACTAGAAGAGTGACGAGCGTCACAAGTGTGATATTAAAGGCTCAAAGTTACATTCGAAATGAGAACGAACGCTCAACGAGGAGAAATAAGGGAAAGGAAACATCCCGACATTTGAGATCCACCAGTGGCACATGGTTTAGCAGCGTTAAGAACAAGATTTTTCTCTTTGCCCGACATCTTTCCATTTACTCAGCGTACAGAAGTTTAGTTACTTCCGACTTTTACGTCCATTCTTGCTTTCCAGACGTTCTGGACATCTTAAATAGAACAGGAGTTGGCTCTCTTTTTGGGTTTGGGGCCGGTGGCGCCCTGGCCCCCGGCGGCACAGATGCAGAAAGAGCAGGACGAGCAGAGGGTCTGCGAGAGGCGTCTCAAGCCCAGCCGGAAGACGCTGTTGGAGAGGCTGTAGATGACGCAGTTACAGAAACTGTTGCTAATGGCCAGCCACGTGGTGACGAAGGAGAGGATGGGGCTGACCAGCACGTGAGAGCTCTCTAGCAGGAGGTAGATGATGTAGGGCAGCCAGAGCACGTAGAAGACGCTGGTGATGCGAAAAAGTACCATAGCGTACCGACGGTCGGGTCCATGTCCCGTGGGGTGCCCGCCCTCTCCGGCCTCCATCTCCTGGCTGGGGAATCGCGCCCGTCGCTCACTGATCTCGCGGTTGTGCTGCTGACAGATGCGGAAGATGTGAAAGTAGGTGAAGCAGACCACCAAGGCAGCGGGAGCATACAGGAGACAGACCACGAAGCCCGTGAAGAGCGCCGACGTAGGCCATGAGCGGGCGCACCACTCGAATATGTCTCCGTGGTAACCCGGCTTCCCCCAGCCGAAGAAAGAGGGCAGAAACACCAGACAGGAGTAGATCCAGATGAGGGCGATGCAGCAGCGGAGCCGGCAGGGCGTCACGAGCTGGTTGTAGGAGAGCGGCTTGGTGATGGCCAGGTAGCGGTCCACGCTGATGCAGGCCAAGCAGGCCATGGAGACGCTCTTAAGCACGGAGATGACGTAGCTGAACACCTGGCACGTGAGGGGCTCCTGCACGCGGGCAGGATAGTGCAGCAAGGACAGCGTGGGTACGAGGCAGCTCAGTCCCACCAGCAGGTCGGCGTAAGCCATGGTCTGGATGAAGTAGCTGGTGGTGTAGTGATGCAGTAGCGGGGCACAGTGGAACACGAAGATCACCGTCAGGTTGCCCGTGATGATGAGGGCCGTCAGCAGGACGATGACGGCCGTCTCAAGGACGCAGGCCTCCGTGCCTTCGCTCAGCGCCCAGCCCAAGGGGCACGAGTGGTTGAGGGACACACTCACTGGGCCTTCGATGCTGCCGTTTGCGGCGGGCAGATAGCTGGGCAGCAGTTCAATGGATTTGGACTGGTTCATAGTTCTGGTTCTGCTGGATTACGGGCCTTTTCTTAGTGTATACAGAGCGAGGCTAAAACTCCTGCCCACTATTTCTTTCTTTCTCATGAATAAACCACAAAAAGAAAATACAACAGCTAAAAGAAAAAGGACTACAGCTCCCTGCGCACCTTTCCACATTCCTGGGCATCAGTCAAACAAAGACAGGAGACTGAAGTGCCAGTCGCATGGGCAATAAAAATATCAATTAAAAGCAATAGCAAATTTAAAAAATACCACCTGTAAAATTAGCTGAAAATGCAAAATGTGCCTCTGCCAGTGGGTCAGGGCACCTCCCGACAGGTGGCGATCACATCCTGCAATACGGGGGGTCGTGGTCATGCTAGTCCAGTGGGTGGGGGGCTTTGTGGTCCAAAGGCGAGAACAAGGCTGGGGAGGTAGGAATTCCTAAAACCCAGGGGAGATGATCTGCCTGTAGACCCAGCTGAAGAAGATTAAACAGGCGATTGTCTTCTAGAAAGCACACATCACCATCGCCCGTGTTCAGTTCCAATCCCAAACACAGTTGAATCGTCTGGAAAGGCAGTTTCTTATGCAAGAACCTTCTCGCACAGCCCTCGAGGTCCTGTAAGTCCAGTCTTGCAAAACACCCCTACTTTTTAATCCCTTCTCCATCAACAGGGCATCACTGTAACCATTTGGGCACCCAGTCCGGCATTGATTGGCCAATCAAGTGCTCCGAATAAACATTCAGCTGCAGTCGGTGTCAAAGGTCTCTCTCTCTACGGACGCCTCGGGGACTGTCTTCGAGGCTCGCTGGCTGAAGAGAGACTAAGCAAACAGAGTTGACTTTAGATGATGCTGGTCTCCCTCATTCCTGGTCCATCCTGGAATAACAGAGTCTGCCTCCCTTCAGCTCGTAACCAGAGTAAAGTTTCTTATCACTTTCGGAATGAGAGACTCCCCTTATTTTCAGGTTCTCCGCCGGCTTCCGAACGAGTGCGTCAGGAAATGGGAGAAAAGTTGCAGCGTTTACCTCTGGCTGGCAAGCTCCTGCGGCCGCGTGCAGCTCGTCCGCCGCACTCAGATCAGCCGCCTATTTCCCTGCGTCGCTGCCTTTCTCTCATTGTCCTGCGAAGGAGGACAAGATCCACATATATCCAATCCTCCAGCAGCACTGGCTCTCCTTGCCTGTTGTTCTTCTTGTTGCGATCCAGTCGAATTAAGAATCTCAGAGTGGGAAGGCTCCCCCCATGTCAGCCCGCCTCCCCTCTCAGTGAAATCCCCGTCCTGGCCGCACGACGGAAAGTGAGCCAGCAGAAAGGGCAGACGCCTCCCCGGTGCCGTTATCTGCGAAGGGGCGTCGCTCGTTCCTCCCGCGGACCCCAAAGCAGAGTCCCTTGCGCTCGGAGCAAAACAGAGTGGATGGATGGGTCTTTAGAAACCCCGTAAAGTCGGGGGGGGGGGGGGGGGGTGGCTCGCAACAGACTCGGAACTACTTCCCAGCTAGAAACGGGAAAATAAAACCTTCTGAAATGAAGAAGAATAAAAGATGGAAATGAGGAGTCCCCTCACCGATGGTGCAGCGGGAAGGAGATGCTGTCACTGGCTCACAGTTCCCTTTCCCCCCCCTCTCCTGTGTGTCTCTCTCTCGCTCGTTCTCTCTCTCTCTCTCTCTCTCTCTCTCTCTCTCGCTCTCCCCCCACCCCCTGCCGGCTGCACCTGATCTCCTTTCTCACTCAGCTCTTCCACATCACCGTCTTTCCCTTCATGCCCCCTTCACACCCCCCCACCCCTTTCGTTTATCTCTGTGTGCCCCTCAGTTAGCCACACAGACCAATGACCAGCCCCGGATCAGTCTGCCCCTTGGTTACAGTTGCCAGGCAATTCAGCTGCTTGGGACCCTCCCCTCAACCAAAGCCAAAATGCACAACAGGCTGGGGCAAATTAGGAGGGGAGGGGGGTATTTTCCCGGGAAAGAGGGAGGAGGCTTGGCTGCTGTTCACATTCCTCAACCATCCATCACTCAGCTTGAAAAGGGGAAAATATACCATATATACAGACATATATATTTTTTCCATGTATATATTTAAAATGATGAATTATTGACTTTTATTTATAAAATATGCCATTGATAAATTATGAAAAAAACATCCATCCAGGGTTCAGGAATTACAGTGAAACACTGAGCTGCTACATCTCACTTCAGGACTGTGTCACACTGACAGGTGAACAGTCACAAGAGAGAGGAGTGTGAGATCTGCACGGGGCCAGGTGTGACATGAGGAAGGCCAGGCACTCTGCCTCCCCCGGTGAAAGGGGGACCAGGGGAGCCATGACAGGAAGAGTACCCCAGTCGTTGCCCAGACAGCTCCAGTCGGGGTCTGTCAGAAACAGAGGGGCCTCACCCATGTGGGAATACCGCGTCCCTCCACACCCGCACGCCCGAACCTGAGCCGCAAGCGTCACCATGCCACCAAGCCGGCAGCTTCTTTGAGAGGAGAAGAGCGGGTCGCAGTGATCCGGACCGGAGCAGTTCTGCTCAGACCGCCCTCTGTAATCCAAACTGTCACTTTAGCGTCAGCGCTGAGCCAGGCGCTGGTCAGCCAGGGACAGACTCTGTGACACTATAAAGACCCACAGGAAGCCCCCTCGCAGCATCTATAAATAACTCACGGGATTAAATAATCATTCATAAGCGGAGGAAAAAAAAAAAACAACAGACAGAATATTTCTGAAGAGAGAAAATCGAACTTCAAAGCTACGGCGCAGCTTAAGATAAAATGTGCGAGAGCCTCCTTTTATCCCACAGATGGCCGGTAAGACTAGCAGACTGACGGGCCCACGGCTCTCCGACAGCCAATCCACGGCGGGGGCGGGCCTCTGCGAGCCAGCCAATGGGGACGCAGCAGCTGGCCCAGCGAGACTGGGAGGCGCGGTGAGCGACAGCAGGACGTGGTCCCGTGGCACCGCTCTGTGGGGAGGATATGGCAGCGTGGGGAGCAGAGGTATCTGAGGAGTGATGGTGGGGGGGGGGGGCGTTGTAATTACAGTACACCACCGAAATACATGTGAGCAGGACCACAGCGCAAGAAAAGCTGCATGCTCATTACACTTAAGGAGTTCAGAGTGCCGCTCGACCGAGGGGTGAAAATAAAGAATTTTTAGGCCAAAGAAATCCTTACAAGAATACCAACACCTTAAAAATTAAATACGTAAAAACAAACTGAGAGTGACCCCCCCCCCCCATTTAGGTGGGGCCCGGGGCCCTAGATGCCACCGTAGTAAATCAGTAAACCCAGCAAACTGCTGCACGTTTGTTTTCTGCAAGCCAGCGTCACTCTGCGCATCCAAGACATCACAAAGAGAG